GATACGTTTGACACATCGAGAGGTTCGTGTCAGCGCTCGGCTAGCGGGGTTCATAAATCATAATCCAAGCGACAAAGTATAGGGGTTTGAATATCGTTCTCACCTACGGTGATGGGTTTTACGGTACTTTTACTCGGTGTTTTACGCAATCCATTCGCCATTCGTCCAGCCGCAGCCCCGTATTTCATACCTTACTGTTCGAACCGAAAACTTGTTCGTATGATCGATCGGGTGTACAAATTATTCTTGTTCAACGACTTCGTTTGTTATATAAAAATAAAAATACAGTATAAATACAACAATGACGAGAACCTTAACCCTTTTACCGGCTAATTTTATCAATTTAACGAGAACGAAAAACAGTCGGATAGTAAAATAACGACCACTGCCGTACCCAAACACGCGTTGCGAAATAAACGAGCGACTGGTGCGCTACAAGTTATTAACAAATTTCACGCGCGTAATTGCGACGAGACCGTTAATGGTCCTTCCTCCCTACACGCCCATGCGCGCTCTAATTTTTTCACAACTAATGAAAGTCGAAGACAGCAAGGGACGAAGCGCAAATTAGGCGACACGGTAGTTAACAACGTAACGAACGTAAATACTAACGAAAAAACACCGGAAGCGGGTTCCAATTACGAATCGTAATTACAGATTCCAGTGCACCGTGGAGGACTAGCTCGATGTTTGATTAGCCCGATACTCTTTCTTTCTTTCGGTTACTCGAGCGTTGCTGATGTTTGTAGTCGCGTCACTCTGGATTTAAATATACATGACGGGTTCAACATATTTTTATCAATTCGACCTTTTTTCCAGGGTATGACTTTATCAAGTCACCTAGCAGGTCACCTATAAAATATCCCACGATTATCGTGCACGGTTAATTCCTAAAAAATAAAGATGAATAACTAAAGATAAAAGAACTATTTTTGCAATCGAATCCGTAATCACCAGACGATCGTTCGAGTAGGTTCGTTTCAAGTCGGAGAACTAACAAGCTAAACGTTGTTCACACGGTAGCTTGCGGAAAATAGCTTTGCAGAGAAAGTGGGAGGTGACGAGGTTGGACGGTGTCCTTTGGGAATACGACCGATAATGGGGTTGCGGGTCGACGGACTCGATGTATGTATCCAGCATTTGCTGTTTAGGCGGAAAACGATCAGAATTGCTGGCCAGAACAAGTTGTCCCGCGACGCGAACGCTGCCGCTGGCGAACGATTACACTTTCGAGGAAAATCGAACGAACGTTGGCAGCTCGGCCGTAGAGATTGAATTTTAAATCGACCCTTTTGTTTGCTTGTTTTTTTGGATGAACATTCGGTGGACACTGGCGAAGCGATAGGGTGAAATGTGCCGCGGTCGATGGCACATTGCGGTCTCTATATGCAAATCAAAATAGGCTCCGAATCGATATCGAACGTAATTTACGAAGCGAAATCGAATCGTCCGAAAGTAACGGACGATTATCAAATTCGTAGCAATTAAAAAATTTTGTACCTTATCTCTCTCTCTAATAATAATTTTTGCGCAAATTAATATTTGACATTCTGCCCGGATTCCCAAGACCCTATAATTGCGAGTCGAGCCTTCTACCGAAAACAGCTGTATACTGTTTTATAACGGATAAGGAAAAAATCGAAATATTCGGTCAAGAAGAAGAAATATTGTACTCGCGTATGCTCTATCGATAAATAAACAGAATGAAAATGCGGTTTAGTATATTTTTGGACTGCGTCACAACTTTCACGAATCCACGATGCGTATTTTTACCACGAATTCATAAATCGTAAAGGCACGATTTAAAAAAAAATCTTGCGGTGGCACGTTTTCGGAATCGAGATAATAATTGTAATATCTACATAAAAAAAGAGGAAAATATTCTACGATGAGCCGACTTTTATAAAAATGGAAACAATTACGATAAACCCGTACGTTTACGTTTGTACAAGTTGCGTAAATATGGCAAATTATACCAGCCGTACCTGATATTTTCGAATGTTTATAAAATGCGGAAAATGAAACGTCACGTGTAAACATATCCTCTATACTTTTCGTTGCTCGGTTCCTTTACGTATTCATTGCTATATGGCGCCTACATTCGTTGACAACTGAAATTTAAGACGTTAAGTATACCACTAAAAATTCCAACGTACAAGTTTCTTTCGCAAATATGAAATTACCCCAATGGTCTGTTGATCTGTTGTATCTGGCACGTTTCCGAACAGGGACACCGTGGATTTGGACGTACAAGCGATTCGCGTAGAAAGGATCGGCCACTTGGCGTACGAGTCCAGAAATCATAGAGCATCGGCTCGAATTTACGACTAGTCCGCGTTCGTTCGTTTGGTTTAATTCATTTTCAACCGACGATCGATGGTGAATCCTCCAATGGTTTCAAGCCTTAACGTTCGTGTTTGAAAAGGTGTGCCCCGCTATGTACCGTTTCGATGGCGTACTTAATATTTCCGTGAATTATTTCTTTCAAACGAACGAACCGATGCCGGTGGTTCCGCAGACTTCGCTTCGTTTGTTCGATCGTGGCAATATTGATTCTTCTCCCTACGTAAAAAACGAGACGATGCGAAATAACGAATTAAAACAAGAGACACACGAATGTTAGAGATGGGTAAAATTGCAGTGGTCGCCGCGAAGGTATATTTTTCTCAGAAGGTTGCGCCAGAAAGCGTACATTGGACTATTTAGTCGTAAAAAAAATAACAAAACATCGTTCAATAATTAGTATTATATTTCGTTTCTAAAAAAATGTCTGACGATGACCTAGTATCGAAGCACTAAAATGAGAAAATCCGTTAACGTATTTATCGAAGACGTATGATCAAAGTTGCATCCGTTGTCGTTCGAAACGATACACGGCGAGCTCGAGAAGAAGATTGCGCGAGACTATCGAGCCGGTGGCGCCGAATAAATGATTCATGCATAGGCGCTATCGCGCGCACTTCGATGACGCGACTGCATTCTTTAACGAGGAGAAAACGGCGGAAGAGGAGGAACCCGGTACGGCCACGACGCGTTCGTTTTTTAAGGAATATGTAGAACTCGAATTCCTCGAGGTAACACCTTGGTGGTCCAATGCCACTTGGATCGAGAAACCGCGACGCATAGGTACTCGAAACTCCTGACCGAGAATCACGATCGAAAAATAGTTTCAAACTATATTCGCGAATTCCTTCTAGTGTCTCGAACTCTCTCTACCGTTGAGTACATATTGCCAGACGTTTACAAAGTTCAAACCATTCTCGAGCTTTATGGCAGGCTTGCGAACCTCGAGCGCTCGAGACTAGGGTCGACGACGAATTCAATTTATAAGCAAGGATCTTCCGTGGAGCTTTATCTGTTTAGATTTACCGTGGAACGTATCTTGAACGTAATACATTGAATACACAGCGCGCTGCAAGGATCGCTGAAATAGAGAGATAGCCGTACACCTACGAGACTCGCGTTAAAGTATTCGTTGATCGATCGATGCCAAATTTTTTCGGTAAATTTAGTAAACGTCGATCTTTCCTTTCTCGGAAATATATGTATAGGCAGTCTGTCCGACGGTGGCAAGCTTTACCAAACTCTGCTGTTTTAATGAGTTTGATTTTAGAGCCCGCGGAATTCAATTAAACTAGCTCCAGGAAGAGACCCGAAGGATCGGGAGCGTCGCAGGTCTTGAAACCGATGCAAAGGTCAATTACGTAACTTGACATCGGATAATCACGAAGGCTGAAACGCTCGTGCTTCCAACTATGTACACGTGTACCCATTTGGAAAGGTACTTCTAGTTCGAACAGTGTGCGTTACCTCTTTGCAGCCTGGCGACTAGTTCGGTTAACCATTTAGAAAATGGTCCGTTCGAGCACAGCGATTAGCCTCGGTTGCTTTAACACTGTATCTCACACATTTGCATATTTTTATGCGAACGATAAAGCAAACAAATTACACAACGAATGCAAGAGAGACGTCTCACCGAGAATAACGATTCAGAAAAACTACACGTAGACGCGGAGAAATAGTTAATTCTTACCTACCGTCAGCGTTTCGTGTCAGAGTTTAAACGCGAGAATCCGAGAGGACGCTCGTAATTGTAATTCGCGAGGAATCTTGTGGTCGATCGTCTGGTCCGCGCAACTACGTGCTACTCTGGCTAATACGAGGAAAAAAACCCAAAGAAAATAAAAAGAGTCGAAGCAGTGAAGAGACACTGGCTAAAGAAGAACGAACAGGGATAAGGGGAGCGTTAATTCGCGTGGAAATCACTATAATTACGGTAAATCCTGAGCCATAAACGTGCACTGGATACGACACCGTACGATTCAGGTCTACGAGTTATTAGCGCTTCGCCGTTCGGGAAAATGTCCACCTTTTCCCCGACAATGGTAACGAGAAAATGTATTTTACGAACAATCGCGCGCGCGCAATTTTCCAGCGTATTACATTTTTGAAATTGGTCAAAGTTTGCGCTAGTTACCAGGAATCGCGTTTTCCAATCAACGAACGATCGTATCGATTGCAATTTTAATCATTGCCTACTTTTAATTTTACTCGCGATCTCGTTACTTGGACGAAATAGTAAACACCGTACGGTACGCTTTGCGATCGATTAAAATTTCGTTGATTGAAATGCGAATCGAATTAACGAAATTAACAAATAAGACTCGCCTTGTAAGCATTTATAAATGCTCGTAAAGAAAGAGTCACGTTCAATTTTCAGAAGCATTGGAAAATTACTACAAAGTTGCTAGCGGGACGTGAATCGATTCATAAACCTTGAGAAAAAAGAAAGGTGAAACGCGAAGCGCGAGGTTCTTTGAATCGACTGCCGTTCCTGAGCGAAGATCAACAAGTAGTTAGTGGTGGGGAGAGAGATCTGTTTGTATGCTGGCGACGGGATTGGTAGAGCGGTGGGGATATTGGCGGTAGGTCGTCGCGTAGCTGGGGGGAGCGGAATGAGAGGGAGCGAGAGAGAAGGAGTATTCGGGGCAGGCGGGCAGACAAGCAAGCGGACAGGCAGGCAGCAGGCAGCGAGCAGGCAGGGTACCGCGAACAAATCGCGCGTTCTCGTCGTCGTTCAGTTGGGTAGGCGCGTTTGTACGGCGTCGGTCTTCGGGATATCGTATACGCGTGTTTGTGCTCGATTTGTCGTCCAGCGAGGTATTCGTTGTTCTAGGTGCGCAAGTGTGTCGTGTGTTTTGTTTCCTTGGATAGAGAAGGAGCCAAAGGGATCGTGAGAGCCATGTGCGTTGGTGATGTACTTTGGTGACTGTTGAAACTTGGGTGATCGTTACGGGGAAAATAGTTTGCATCGGTGAACACGAAGAGAACGACGAGAAGAAAGACGAGAACGTGCTCGCCGCGGCCGGTTATCCAGCCGAAAAGGCGAAAGCCGGTGCAGAGGAAGGAAGAAAAGAAACATGTCGCGAGAGCAACCTGGAGGATCCATCGTACGGGCCTGGGCGAGGCCTCGGCGTCTTTTATTGTGGTGTTTGCTGCTCTGTGGAACGCTAGGTGAGTTATAGTACGCATTTTTTAGGTTAATACGGGACACTCTGCGTGCATGTATTCCGTGTTCGTGTGTTTGTTTGTACTTATTTACGCGTTCGTGTGCGTTCGACAACGATGCGTGTGTAACGTTTCACTCCGCCGCGCATGCGCGTCGACGAGGCCAACCGTACAATAATGGTGGGGCAAAGTGGGACCTAAGGCCTCGTTCATAAGCACCGAGAGAACTCGACGCTTAAAAATTTTGCCATTTCTCGTACGAGATTCAAGTACGAATAAATTTGTTCGATCCGTGGATACAATGAAAATATCAGTGCACTCGACCACATATCCGAAGGTGAGACTTTTTAGTCCGTGCTTTTGGTTAAAAAGGAGGAATCTCCCGAGAACGCGACAAGATGCCGCCATGCCATCGGTTCGCACTGGACGCGCAAACCACGACGTCTTCTTTCCACTTTTGTAATCCAAAACCAGTAGCCCGGTTCTATTTTTCTTGGCGAAAGATATCGGATAGCAAGGTATCGGGTCGAGCGATACGAAACATGTACCCTGAGAAAACCGGGGACTGTTACTCGGAGCGATAGACTGTAAGCTACTTTTGTAGAAAGGTGTACCTCTGCTCGTGGGAATTTTCAAATATAGGATCAACTCGTATGTTTGCCGTCTCTAGTTTTTAGTATCGCGAGCTGTTTCCTCCGTCAAGGGACGCTGCTGTCGTAAAATTGGAAATTCATGGAAACCACGATCGCCCAATGAATTACAAAGAACGCGTAGGCCAAAGGCTCGCTAGGAACGCTAGCTCTATCTTCGATTGGATTTCAATTTTTATTCGCGAGAACAAAGGACGTCGAAACATTTTCTACGACTTCGTTTTACGAGTTAATTTCCACGTTTTCGAAGGCGAGCATATTTGCAAACGCTATCAGAATTTTTAGCAAAGAGCCGATAACGTAGCCAGCAACGCCGATCGCGCGGAGACATGTTCGCGATTATTACATCGTTGTTACCGGTGCAAGAAGTTGACGGACAGGTCGAGAGAGACGTACGTTAGTTTTATTAGCGTTAATCGACGCGAGATTCGTTTGGACGTGGCTCCATCGAGCCAATCAGGGTCGCGTTCCATTTTGTCGAGTTGGCCTCATAAGGATTCGGCTTGAGGAGATTCGAGAGGCCTTCGAAGAACCTTACTCGTCGGCGTAATCTTAAACCACTACCAGCCGATTTCAAAGTGCTCTCTTGGTACATTCCTCGGATTTTTCCCTTGCTCCCTCCCCCTATTCCCCTTCGTCTCTATCTCCCCCACCTTCTCGCTCGGTCGTTCCTGCTCTTTTCCTTCCCACGAAAGAATGCAGCTTTAGCTGCAGCAACAGCAACGGTGGCGGCATCGTGCGCGCCATGCAGTATGGCTTCCCCTTTCTTTTTCTCTCGTTTGTTTTATCCTCGCCGCTCGAGATTCTCAAAGACGTTGGACCGTGAACGGACGTAAACAAGCCGATCTGGATTATGCAAAATGTCAGGCGGCAAAGGCCGATTCGAGAATTTTGCCGAGCAAAGTTGCGCTCTTTGCGGGAATCAAACCATCCGTCGAGAAAAAGCTTTCCAGGTTGTGCGTTCGCGGTGTATTTTTAACCGCAACGCTTCAAATTTGTTTACGTATCGGTAAGCTCGATTTTTTTTTTAAACTCGGACCAACGATTATTATTTACGTCGAGCGCAGGTAACGCAGGTGTCGCGATACGATGATTCCGTTTCAGCCCGTTATTGCGGTGCCGAATATCTAATCCCGTGTCATCATCCGGTCCGAGCTGAAAGTTCCATAAAATGCTCGACGGTATCGTCGGTGTCGTATGTTGGAAATTTGACTACAGATTTATTCTCCACCGAATATCAGCCATGCAATTACCGTGCTTTGTTCCTTTCGAGGAAGTCTGCGTAAAGACGGTTCCTTCGAAGGACCTAGCGGTAGCCTGTTTATTTTGTTTTCAAAGAACCGTCTCTCAACTGGGTCGAGATAACGTAACAAAGAATCCAGCCTCGGATATCAATCCTTTGCAAGTTCGTTCGGTCTATATAGCAAAATTAAATGGTTTTGTTGTTGTTTGTCGAGAATCTGACCAAGCACGAGACGCGTCTATAATTTTCAACTAGGTCGACGCGTCTCTTGCTTTACGTCGAGAAATATTTTGGAACCATTTTCCTCGAAATTGTACCAGAAAAGTAAATTTGATTCGAACATCGGATGACGAATAAAACCACTGTAAAGCGATTTCGAAACGCTAATAAGACTTTATTCGTTTACCGACGAATGTAATTTCACTTGGTTATTCAAACTGTAATTTGTATCGAAGAAGCGACAGATGAAAAGTTTAGCTTTCGTTTGCTATAGGAAATTTGTGTCTACGCAAGTATTTCGCCTGTCTCTGGTACTAACCAAAAGCAAATCGGAGCCCAGAAAGGGTTAAACAACGGAACTCGACGTTTCGCGAGTGGTCTACGAATAAAACGGTTTGCTTTACCTTTGGAAACTTTGCGGTTTTCGCGAGAAATCCGGTTATAGAACGAGAGAGAAGACGGAAAAGGGATAAAGAGAGAGTTAGCAATGTAAATTGGCAGCAGCGAGCGCGCGGGACTCGATCGCAACTTCCGCCGTTCGGGTTACGTTTTCGCAGATTTATTAAAACTCGGTTTAGTCTTTGGACAAAATCATCGTGGTAAACTTTCGTTACCGAAGATGACTGAAATTTCATTGGGAAAGTTTGTACGAGTATAACGGGATGTACGCTCGTACGTGGTACCAGCAAACTGTTATTTCGATTACTATGTTTCCGAGAAGAGGTTTTGATACGCGTGGTCGGTGGTTGGTTTCGTGATTTCGAGTCGGTACGCGAACAATAGATTTTTGGGCGGGAACATCGGTCGATGGAAGTTGCGAGAAAATAAATTAGGAGAAGCAACGTGATCGGCGAAGAAAAGACCGGTCGCGTCTCGGCACAGGGAACAATAAAGACGCGGAGGGGAAAAGAGAGAGAGACGAAGGAAGACGCGGGATGACGGTTAGAAGGAAGAAGTGAAAGGGAACGAGGAGCGAAGTCGAGAGGACAAAGAGCGAGCTGGGGTCGCCGGCCGTTTGTTGTAGGTGCAGCCTGTATAGAGCAGTGTCTTTCAGTTTACGGGCCCGAACTAACGACCCTTCGCGGAACCTTTGAACCAACCTTCTTCGCTCTTCGCCTATGAAACCACGCCAAAAGCTTCCAGCAAATTTCAGTTATCGCACACCACGGAGAAGAGTAACTTTTCTTTGCGTTGGTTGACGTTCCGTCCTTCCCGCGTGCTAACCTCAAGGTTGTTACCACGCGAACGATAAACAATTTGAACGCGGGACAAAATGGACAAAGATTTGTTGATGGCGGTTGAAAGTATCGAGGGACACTGGCGTAGAACACGGGCCATAGACCCATGGGAAGACGTTCAGGTTCGTCTCGAGTGCTCAGAAGGCCCCGTTCTCTCGCACATCGCACTTTTTTCTCTTTCCCTTTCGAAGAATCAAACCTAATCGCTCGCCCGTTGACGTAATCTTTCGCGATAAACTCGTATCGATACGGTGTCCGCGATAAAACCGAAACAGGCACACGTTCCACGGCGATATTGCTTTACCTTATCGCCATTCCGGACTAAATTGAACGTAAAATTCTATCGAGTCGGCAAGCCGCTTCGGAAGCCCGGAATCGAATTTGAGTTCGTTTGTCCAATACTGGAAGATCGGAGAAATTTAATTTTTCCGCAATGGTCAAATATAGAGACAGACACAATTTTAATGGAATAATGCATAACCGATCAAAATAACACGGAGCTCTCAGTTTGCAGCTCCGTACCTGAAATAATAAACGTATCATCAATTTTCAGCTAAATAAGGATGTTACTCATCTCGGGTGAAAAATAGCGCAACGAAACTGAATCGGATTCCAAAGTGTTGTCTCGAAACTTTGTACGATAGATTCGCATTTTTCTTTGAAATTTCCTCGGTATTTCTACCATTTAAGCGCCGCTAGAGGCATTTGAAACAGTCACGAGGCTGTGTCAATGACAAAAGTACTCGTTCCAGTTCCTCGAACCGGGCTGGGCCAGACCGCGCCAAGTCGCGTTGGCTCGGAGAGGGGCGCAGGATTTAGCTGTGATTCATTCACCGGGATGTGCAATGCGTCTCTCTCGTTGCTTCGCATGAAACTGTCGGGAATGACGGAGATTTTATTTCTCGGTATTACTCATTCAACGAGTAGTCCCTACCACGCGTCTATTTTCCTTGAAATCACATGGGTCTTTAAACTATGTTAAAGCTGAACCACCTTAAAGGAAAACGATATACCGTTAGGCAAGAAGAATCGCGTCGAATGTTTCGTCGATGGCCGGTCGATCCGTAGGGCAATTAAATGCACGGAAAATATGGAAGCGGGGGAGAAGAAAGGGCACGGGAATGCGCGATGCGTGGCATGCGAAGAACGCGATAGTAATTCACGTCACCCATATTACATATCGCCGAATCCGTTCTAATTGGTTGGATTCAGCGGTAGAGGCCATTGAGTTTAGAACTCTGCCGCTGGGCCGTCCGTCAGAGGCGACCGCTCGAAAACGATGCTGACGTTCAATCGCGAAGCGAAATACATTTGCATTTGGAAATCGTCCGCCGCGTCGACTGTCAGCCGTTTATGATGAACGCGATTCGTGACAAGCGCAGACAACCGATGTGAATCGCGTGCAGATTTTCAGACCGCGTTTCGCGTTCAACGATAGACCGCTTCGAATTTTGTCGACCAGCCGCGAAAATATTAGGTGCACGAGAGTGTACCGTGCTTTTGGTTGTACACTTCAATTTAAATAGGATGAAAGAACCAATTTGGCATCGAAACGGCGATGAAAAACTGCAAGACAAAATAACCGAACGAGTGCGACCGTTATAAATATTGGTAACAATTTTTTTTTTTTTTTTTTTTTCTATCCGAGAAGATAAA